TATAGTGTTTAGTGTAATTTAGAAGAATTGCTTTATGTAAATTTTATTTCATACCAGATTTTTTCTTTCAAGGATTTTGTAAAGCGGTAAACGAAAAGAAAATTTTAATTGGGTGCTTTTCTCACCTTAAGAATTAAAAAAATTTCTTGCATGGAAAAGGAGACAACTTAAAAGTAACCTATTCTACCAGCATGGGTCGTGTTTGGAAGCATAACTTATTGACGTTAAGATCAGCAAAAGCTTAAAAAGGCTAATAAAAATTCGATAAAATTCCATCCCGACGTTGGGTATGTGGAAGTCGTGACCGGTCAGGTAGGAGTTTAGCCAGCTACAATATCCAGACTTAAATTGCGCCAGGATTATGCAGGTTTCTTGAGGCAGCTCGAGCACTTTGTCTACCATGGGTGGTGATTTGAACCTTAGGGCGCCATTTACAGGGCGGGAGTTTTTGAAGATGTTGACTTACTCTTGGTGGATGGCGTTTAGAGCCTACCTTTCCAGTGGTTGTTGCAAATGTTGGTGGATTGTTTGCTTCAAGTGTAGTACTTCCTTTCTCATGTGCCTGTGCGGAAGTTCAGCCTGTATTAGATGCAAAGGGTGGTGTTTTGCCGACGGAACAGATGCTGCACTGTGATAAGATATTCTGTCGCATAATACTGCATTGGAACTCCTATTCGAGCTACCAGATTACTCAGGAAGAGTTAGCTTTATCTCCCCTGAGACAGCTGAACAGGACAGGACATCCTTAATTACGATATTTGTAAAGAAACTTGTTAGGAAAGGTACGACTAAGCAGACTTCCCTGCACTGCTACTAAAGACAGGTCGCGTTGAGATAAGAAAAAATCTGAAACTGTCGTAAGTCTAGGTGAATTGGTCGATATAGTTCGGGACCGAAGGACGTCCATCGACGAGGCAATCAGCTACGAGGAAGAAGCTATCGTTTTCGGCCTGTTAAGCGAGTGACGCTTAGGTTCTTTAGAGTCGCACGCATGGATAGCCTTTCCAAGCGAAAACAAAGTAACCAAAAAATAAAGTACAAAAAACAAAATGAATGAGGTGGGAACCGTAAGGTCAAAGAAAACTTGTAATGGTATCGCCGCGGGTTTAAGTGTTTCGATACACGCAATACGGCAGCCACTTCTATCTATCTACCAAACGTCTATTAGAGGAGTCGCACTGTCATGTCTTCTATTTGCAGTATTTTCAGAGATTGACGAGAATATTATCCAACTTTCTCACACAATTTTCACTTTTGTGCAATTTAAAATTCCCAAGGAGCATAAGAAGCTTAATTCCAGCACAAACACGCTCTTTGGTAGAACCAAAGATGAATACCACAGTTGATGGAACGATGGGCTTACGGAATATAAGACATTGGTGGAGAAAGAGCTCTTGCTACACTGGTTGAGTGGTATGGTCTGTATAGATAAGCATACTCCAATATTGTAAGTTTTCAATTCACTATCGGCCGAGCGAAGCAGAGAAAGAGCGAGACCTTCCTTAGGTTTGGAAGGATCTGGTGGAAGAAGAGCTGACAACACTTGATAATTCCGATTGGCTACCAATGGCTCAATTAACCATTTCTCTTGAGAGTGTCTATAAAAAGCATTTAATAAATGTCTCACCCTTTCTGTTGTGTGGTTCTCTAGCACAAGCGAGTTTTAGACCTTTAATGCATATGACATGGTTCATTAACTTTGGCCCAAAGCATGTTAATACCAGAGGGAGTAGAGACAGACCAAAAAAAATCAATCAGTATGATGAATTAAGTTGATTCAGTCAGCCCATTTGTCCATCGATTTTTATGAAACTAGCTCAGTGTTTGAGTAATTTCAACCAAACCGCCAGAACCGTCCAAATCGGACCTCTTTAGCATAAATATTATCGAATTTTTAGATTAACGAATCACTCGGCTATCTCTTTTTTGTAACAAAATATTGAATTTCAGCGTATTATGTATGCGTTTTCATGAATAAGGCTTCAAAAGTAAAATCATATTTAAAAAGTAAAGTTGGAAATGGAAATGGAAAGGCACAAANTGTTGCTCCACAAATGTATAGTGTTTAGAGTAAATTTTATTTCATCCCAGATTTTTTCTTTCAAGGATTTTGTAAAGCACTAAACGAAAAGAAAATTTTAATTGGGTGCTTTTCTCACCTTAAGAATTAAAAAAATTTCTTGCATGGAAAAGGAGACAAATTAAAAGTAACCTATTCTACCAGCATGGGTCGTGTTTGGAAGCATAACTTATTGACGTTAAGATCAGCAAAGGCTTAAAAAGGCTAATAAAAAATCGAGAAAATGCCATCCAGACGTTGGCTATGTCGGAGTCGAGACGGGTTAGGTAGGAGTTTAGCCAGCTACAATATCCAGACTTAAATTGCGCCAGGATTATGCTGGCCTCTTAAGGCAGCTCTAGCTCTTTGTCTGTTATGAGTGGTGGTTTGACCCTTAAGACGCCATTTACAGGGCGGGAGTTTTTGAAGATGTTGACTGACTTCTGGTGGATGGCGTTTAGAGCCTGCCTTTCGAGTGGTTGTTGCAGATGTTGTCTCGTACCTTCTTTCTCATGTGCCTGTGCGGAAGTTCAGCCTGTATTAGATGCAAAGGGTGGTGTTTTGGCAAGTCTGTAGATTATTAAACGGCCTCTCGTTTGTCAACGATGCCCAGATCGGTGCAGCATAGTAAAGTTTCTTTGACTTTTCCCCAGGTGCTGCCGCCTAGCGCTTTGTTAGCTTTTGTTGCGGCTCTGGAGTTATACGCTAGTTGTTAATGAAGGAGTGCAGGCTGTTGTTTGTGACTCCCAGTAACTTTGTGTTGTTTGCGGTTGGATAGCCGAGGACTTCTTCGGCTGCATTTGTGATTGTCTTGCAGTGAAGGACTGTACTAGGCCGTCGAGAAAGTCGTTTACCTTCGAACAAAGATCATTAGTATCCTGACCCCATGCCAATATCGAGCAACATATCGGCATATGAAGAAGAGGACACACCTTCTGGTGGAGGAGGAAGCTTCGAGAAGTTAAAAAGTAATGGGGAGAGGACACTACGCTGCGGTGCCCCTTGATTTTGATGGAGGGCACTGACTCTCTACGTATTTATGGAGTTAGGTGCTATTGTGGTACTATAGACTTTGCAAGAGCCATGGTGATGTGGTGCTGGAGTGAGATGATGTGTAAAAGTCGGAAGCAATATGACCTTAAGAGTCATCGCTACTGGGGAAAAAATAGATATCACCCAATAGGACTCTCCTTTATTAGCTGGGCTCCTCCACACACAAATCGAGCATCTTTTAGGTGGTCAAAGACGGTTTGAGGACTTTAATGAGGAAGTCCTCTTCTGATGGTCCTAAATGTTTTGTCATCAGCATACTTATTCCGTCAAGGCCGATGTATTTGGGATCTTCGCATTTCTAAATATCCCTGAACCTTTTTCCTCAAGAAATTAGGCTTTACGCTGGTATTCGGCAGTTTCCGCTAGCGGCGGGTTACTTGTCACCGACAGCCGGTGGTATGCAGATTTCTATCGTTCGCTTCACCAGGCAACATGCAAAAGATGGTTTATATGGTTCCAAAATAATGATTTCGATGTTAGAAATGAAAATCGTGGAAAACCACCAAACAATTTTGAAGACGCCGAATTGAAAGAAATTTTCAACGAAGATGTTACTGTAAGCAAATCATCGAAAAACGTCCAGAATGTGCCAGAAGACACGAAAACGTAATCTTACTACACGACGATGCAACGGTACATAAGGCGAAAACAAATATGTCTCTACTGAAACACTCGTAAATCTTCAAGGCGATTTCTGGTCCCCTCTTTACATTAAACTGGGTTTATCAAGATCTCCTTCAAAGCACTCAACCATGAAGGACTGGATTTGCCGTATTTTATGATGATGGAAAATTAATAATCGGCAGAAACTGTACAAAATGTTTGATATCCGATAAATCAGCAGCAAGGTCAACGTTTCAAAATGTGCTTCAACACATTCTCGGTAACCACAAATCACCGAATCTGTAGCAGTTGAATGGCAATTGGTTGAAAAGTGGTCGAAATATTCGAAATGCCTCTAAAGATACTTTTGCTGCATTTAAATCTCGATTCTTTCTGCGAAAACTTTGACGATAAGAGCGTCGAACAAGGAGAGTGGCTACACCAAGATCTAGCCCATATCGGAGCCCAAGGACTTTGTGCCGAAGGCATGATAAGGGCTTACTGTTCACCTCTATAACGAGAAATGGCTGCCAAACTATTGACTCAGTTTCACTTCACTTCACTTTTTGATTTATTGTTTTTAACTGAATGAAATTGCCATTAATTTTTAAAAATTATATAAAATCAAGTACTTCACTTTATCAAAAAACTAGAATTGGTCTTGAAATGGGCATGAAGATTCAAATGCAGCCTTATAAAATTAACTTTCGGTTGCTTAACTCAAAAAACGGTCAGTATCTGTGCCATTTTTCTGCCAATTGTATGTAGGTTTTCACTTTCACTCAGAACAGAAAATTGCAAACTGAAACTGATGTACATATGAATTTTTAAAATCGTGACAACTGTATCTTCACTTCCTTGCGTTTTTAAGTGCTTTCCGTTGGTCATTAGGATGTTAGTCACGCTTAGTTAAAAACAAAAATCACTGGTGTCGCCACAAAGGCGCTCTACATATAAAATGCAGCTGCCTATCATTCGTTCAACCAGCTATTGGCTGCACAGGCTCACATATATCTTCTCGCTAATAATTTATACCTCGACCAACGCTCGATCAGCTATCGGTCTGGCTATTTTAATATTGGCATTGCAAAGCTGTTGCGAATGCAAATTTCGAAAAACACTTACACACACAGGCTGTTCCATGGCCATATTTCTTTTCATCACACACTTTTGTTGTCACATGTCCTGTGCTTATATCCTTCCATACACATTCACACATTTCTTTTAACTCGCCTCTATTATCTATACCCATACCTCGTTGTATGCACTCACGTGTGTTTGCACAATGTTCTATGCATTCCAGGTGGATGACGATAGCTATCTGATAGCCTACAATGACACCGTACACAAACATGGCCTCATAACGTCAATGCTCGGCCTTGAGTTGACAGTTGATGGACGTCACTTTCGGGACGGTGTGATGCGCGTTAAATGCCTGGCAAGCATATCGCCAGTGCTGTGGAGTGGCGACAAGGAGAGCGTGCTGCAGCGTCGGCGTGGCATTATTGACAACCGAGAGGCAATGCTGTTGGGTGAGTTGGATTGCAAGACAAAACAAAACAAAAAAAAAAAAAAAAAAAAGGAAAAACGAATTTCAAACTATTAAATGTAGTTTACTGTGAGCAAATTAAATATTGCTTTAACGAAGTTTTATTCATTTTTTTTACAACTTTTTCATTTTGATACAATAATTTTTATTTAAGTGGATTTGGCCTCTTTTGACTGTTGGCAAATACAAGCAAAAAGGCGGTAGAAATTCGCTTTTATATTTATACGTTAGCGTATTGTACTTTTAACGGTTTCAGGCGCGGTTTCTCTCTGGAGGTTACTAGAAAAATGTTACTGCAGACAAGTAGGATAGCAGCTTGGCACATTGGGTGTAGTAAAAAGAAATCCATTAATTTTGCCAGAAATTGAAGGCTTTATTTCCCATAATTAGCATGATCCGATTTAGATGAAATATGCGCCATTTTGTTCGATAACCATTGTAGTTGCCATTTTAAAGGTAATTTCATTATGCCTCTGTCATGGAGGTCCTCGTTTCTATTGGCAAAAAATTAGATGGTCGATTTTCCCTTGAAGGAACAGTTGGTAATCAAGAACATAAGAACATCCCAACCAAGCTCCTAGAGCGTCTGGCTAATCACTATCGATGTGTGTGGCTTGGTATTGTCCTGATGGCATACAATTCCTCTCCTATTGCCCAGATTTGGCCGCTTCTGGGCGATTGCTTCCTTCAGATGATCCAATTGTTGACAGTGCCGTTCAGAGTCAAGAGTTTTGTCGTTTAGTTTAGTAGATAATTCCCAGTCAATCCCACCAAACACACAACAAAACTTTCCTGGCCGTCAATCCTGGCTTGACCACCGTTTCCACCGGCTCACCGCGTGTTTAGTGATCCCACTTCCGACTCCGATTGGACTTATGCAAATCGAGATAAAGATAAATAACGCCATTTATTAGAAAAATAATGGATTTCTTTATACTACACCTAATACAGAATTGATATTATCCATTCGTAGCCCGCCTTAGCTTCAATGATGCAATACTTTTCTCGGAGTTGATTTTTATACAGCGGTTACTTGATTTGTACTCAGCTGGGTTTCCGCTTCCGAATTCGCAAAGTCGCTGAAGAATTTTGAATGAAAATATTTGGCTCCACATTCCCAGCCATGACTTTGATCGACTTTTTTCTGTACCAAAATATAAAGAGAACCTTATACCCTATGCAGCCATGTATAGTTACCATAGTTGGCAGTTTGTAACAGTTTGACCCGCTTCTCGCCGATGGATTTTTATGAGGAACTTTTAGCTCATATCAGAAATACACTCGGCGGACCAACCGAATGTAGAAAAATTAATTTCTGCTGAGTAATATCTGCAAAACGCCATTCTATTTAATATGATCTTTTATCGCTAAGTGAAAAAAGATTAAAGTATTTTGGTTATATTTCCAAAAAGCATCAGTCAACTATGAATGTAATCCGCTTAGAAACTTGTACCTAAAATCACTAATTATGGAAGATTACCGGCTTCTATGGCCAAGTGGTTGGCAGCGCATACTACCATGGTCTTGAGTCCTGGCCTGACCAATATCTGAGTCGCGCATCCTGTCGCCCCACAGGAGTACTTTGGAGACTGCGTGAGCAGATATTGGGTATGGGTTCCCCCGTTGCTGTTGCACATGATCTTGGCAGTCTAGCAAGCCATCCAAGTTGGTCTTACTGTCTTTTCTGTAATTTCATTATAAAGAGTTTTTAGCAACTGTCTTATTTCTTTCGCAGATCGGTAGCTAGACGGATGGAACTTTTGCCAATCTCATCAAATATTGTGTTTCCCTTTATTCCGCCTGTGGCCCAGAACCCAGTATATGTAAAGCTGCTTTATTGCAACCACTTTAACACAGTGCCGCTTGTAGGTAGATTGAGAAGCCTTTCGAGTGCAATTGGCATGGTTCTTATCGCTACTGTTGTACGGAGTCATTTTGCATGCGTAAAGGGCATAGGTCCCTCACTTTGACATTTTAGCTTCTACATCAGCTGGTTATCAAAAATTATTTCCTGGTATTTGGTTTTTCAACCCCATTGTGCCACAATGTTTTCCACGCAGCGATCTTGTGCCAACCTGTGCAAAGTATCGCATGAGTTTCTTTGGCTTTTACCTTTAAATTGGCCACTAACGCCCATCGTTGCATGACTTTTGGAGCATTTTTCCATCTTTTGACAAATTATGTCAAGGAACTTGCCCATGATCAGTGTAGCTGCATTAGAAATTAACTTAAGTGGCCACAGGAGTGATGGCAGTAGGCCCCTGAGAAGGTCACCGATGTTTCACTCCTCGTTAATATTTTTTAAGTTCAAAAGAGATTTTATTTTTAATAGAACGGCAAGTTCTAGCCGGGTTGCCGTTCAGACTTTGAAGCATCGTCTCATTAGATGTATTGTTGAGTGATCCAGTTCTGTGCAGAAATATGTCTCGGTCGATGAGGGAAGTACAGTACCTGATATCCTTCGAGTAACTGCGCTTTTGGTCTATATAATCCTCTTGAATGCGGTCATAAGTATTGGTACGTATTCCTTCGACCAAAGGGTACTTGTTCTACCCATTCTCAGTATAAATGAGACAACCGCTTTTCTCCAATTGATAGCCACGTCGTATCGTTCATCTCTCACCATTAGGTATGGAACCAACACTATTTAAATACTAACTGTATCTGGTTCAATACCATTTAATACTCGAAGTACTTTGTCTTTCGTTAATGAATCGGTGCGAAATCACTCTATGTGATCTCCGGATGATTGGAAATTTGTATCGCCTGTACAGCCCGGAAAAAGCCAGGCTTTCCAATGATTCTCCACAGCCCTTCCACCACTCCTTTTTTCTGTGAGAATTTCTCTTTTATATCCTTCCAAAAAAGTTTAATCAAAAAATGTATTAAATTTGTATAATAGCGGTAGCCCCTCGGCAGGGCATGGCAATCACTCAGAGTTTATTCATGACGTAAAATAAAAAGCTCTTCATGAAAATCCATCAGCTGTTCGGAGGTGGCATAGAATATATTGTAGGTCTCTCAATTGTGTTTGGAAATATAATGACGCACCTCACAAATTGGAAGAGGAACTCAGCCAAAAACCGCTTCGGAGGTTAGAAAGTAGCAATTTCATATATACGATTATACACAAGTACATCTTGTGAGTACTCCCTTAACCATTTCTTCGAATTCTCAATATCCTCGATACTTCGTATTGCATGTCTGCTTGGCGGTCTACAAACTTATGTGTTCTTTTTTTATTGTATTCTTCAGTACGTACTGCGGTGGTTAGGTCGTTTGAGTGATCGTTTTCTTTCTGGTCGGGTACAAAAAATTACAATCTTCCCTCAACTATTCGAAGTTGAGAACCAGCTGCAAAGATTTTCGCAGCTCTGTCCACAAACTTGTGTCCTTTGTTCCATCCTTCTGGCTCTATTGTTGCCCTCAGAGGTTGTTCAGTGTGCAAGCCACATAAAACCAATAAATAATTGCATCAACACATAAGCTGGTATGTATGAGTGACACTTAATTTCTGCACAGTTATTTGGAAACCAAAAAAAGAAAAAGAAAAAAAGTCTGCAACCTACAACATTTCTTCTCTCCGTCGTTCAATTCCATTTCAAGCTGCGCATGGTGAAAGTGCATTAACTCTTCGCGTCCACAAAATTCAATTTAATGCACCACAATTTCACCAAAATTGCATTCGCCGAACATGCGAGCCACTGCAGTTTTTGTTCATCGCCATCCGTCCCTTTGACCCTCTGCAATTTCTTCGCAATCTTCTGTCTTTTTGTTTTTCACTCGCCGGCGATGTTGACTTGAATTTCAATGTGGCCATCATTGATCAGCTCTGCAGGCGCATTCGAGCTCCTATGATTTTTTCATGGTGCATGGTGCATGGTGCATTCAGAACATTCGCCGACATCAGCAGCCAGCCAGTGAAGGCCATGCTACGTGAATTGCATTGCTGAGTGAGGCAGACTCGCTGCGGTCGCTTCGTCATTCATTTAGCTGCCCTTATGAGCTCAAGCTAGACATACCACCACATATTGACCATTACGTCCAGCTGCTGACTGCATTGTACCCACGTTGGCTTGCGTTATTATGGGTATTGGTGGTGGTGGTGCTGGTAGCAGCTGCTTGGTGGAAGCGCAGTTGATTGCCCAACACTTGAAATGCTGACGTTGTCTTCAACTTGATGCCCATCCGGAGTCAAAGGCACTCCTACGTGGATATCTTATAAAAGTCAGTTAAATCTTTTACTTTGCCGTATCACTTCCTTTTGCAATCAATTTTTGAGCTTTGTGGCTTTGGCATGTTATACATGTACATGTTTATTCATTATGTTGCAGCAATCATGATAGAAACATTTATAGGAAAAAATACTGATATAATTTTGGCTTTCAAAACTCAAAACTTCAAAATAAAAAATGCCAAATGAAAATTAGTCTGAGGTATTATAGCCCAATTATGCCGATAACGGTGTAGACTTTATTACCTTGACGAGCGCTCTATAGTGGCTTCACCATGAGTTTGAGTGGCTTTTAGGCTTATAGCATAGCAGCTCGCCTAGATGTTTTCTAAAGCGAAAAAGAACTTTGTTCAGTTTGATCCGGTTAGTAGTTTTGCCTAGATCCGGCCGCCATACAGTGACTTCAAAGGATAATACGTGAGGATTAACAAAATTTCGATCAATTGGTGACTATCAATTCGTTTTGGTTAATTCTAAAAATACAAAATCTTTTGCAATTACTTTCATAGTCTTCTTTGAAGTTTTAGAAGGATCGCCTAAAATGAAGGCGATCAAACGCATGATAGCTGAGGATAGGTCAGACGAAATTCGACCCCCACCGCAAACAGCAAATAAAAAAATTCAGTGAAGGCCGAATCGCATGTGGAGCAATTCCATCATCTTTAAAGAGTATTTCTGAGTATTTCCGAAGACTCCAGACCTGACATTTCTCCGTACGGTACAAACCCCGAAAAGATCGACTTAAATCTTCCACTCATGACGTCATGACGTCTGGTAAAGTCCAAAATTAACGAAGACCCACGACTGATACAAGAAATTATTGGTAATGAATTGGGCTTGAATGCCATGGCCAAAAATTGTTGGAAAACGGGAGGAAAAAGGATTTGCGGCGCTGCTTTTTACATCATGACAAAGCGCCTTCTCACACTGCTGAGATAAAGAGTAATTTTCTGCGATCTCTGGGACGTCCAACGCCAAATTTCCCGGATATAGCATCTTCTGATTTATGATTATTTCCAAAAATGAAAAAATATTTAATATGAAAGGTTTTTAATAGCAACGGGGAGATAGTTACTGCAATGGTGAACTTGATAAGATTAAAAAGAAGACTGTTTTCAAAAGCCAATTTATAGACTTAAGAAATTCTTTAAAATCAATGACGATCATGCAAAAGAGGTGAAAGGGACAAAAGTTACGAATGCATTCAAAAAGATTTTATTTTTCTGGTCAACTCACCGAACTTTTGTTAATCTCCTCATATAAACAAGTAAACATAACTTTTTGAAACTAGCGCCCTCTAGTGTGTAAATTTGCTATCCTTTATCGGCTTACAGTAAAAATTTCACGACATTTCTTCTATTTTAAGTGAAGTTATTGCGTTTTAATGAGAACGAATTGCATGACGACCAAAATTGCTCAGAATTCAACATTTGAAGGACATCATTAAGGATGCAAAAAAAGACCCGAACTTCCTTTACAAGATTTTGACTGTGCGATTGCGTATTTTAAAAGTCCTGTTTACCTTGGAACGCACCTTGTAGGTCTAAGTCTCCCTTTGTTTAACCTGTATTCCACATTTGGTTATAGTTTCCATCTTTGAGCGATCGTAGGCGCAGAGTGCGACTACAGCTTTCCTACTTCTTTCCACTGTATTTCGATTCCACTTTAGTTTACTGTCTAATTTGAGGTTTTGCGTCTTGATGTTTTCCCAGCAAATGGCGAAGCAGCTTATTTTTCACCAGCATCCGAACAGCCAACAGACTTTTATAAGGAGTCTTTACTTCATGTCAGATGGCTTGACATTGTCTGCCGATGGGCGACCACAATTACAATACAATTAATTAATTTAACATGATGGTCGCACCAAGACTTGTACCCAGACATTCAGCATGGCAGTGTGCAATGATAACCACTTGATAATGCTGCCGCCAAAATTATACCCAGTGATGTTAACATTGGTACATAGAAAGAGTGATCTCGATGCCTTTGAATAAGTGCAACTTCAAAGCAGGTGGCCTGTTCATTCTGGTGAAGAGCATTAATTCGGTCTATGAAATATTTACATCCAGGCCGCAGGACCTGCGCCAGTTGCTTGTCATTTGTGGGGCATTTTCCAGTAGCTGATCAGAACATGGAAGTATCTTTCAGTTACCGTGAAGATGACCGCGCGTATATTACCTCACAACCCGTGCTTCTTAGTTTGCAAAGCAAATTTTTCGGTCTAGTAAGAAGTAATCACTTATTTTTGCTTTATTTGCCATAATCAGAACAATCCGAATTTTGTTAGATTTGCTCCATTTTACTTAACAATTTTTTTACCATTTTTAAGCTATTTCATATTGTCTCTTCCTTGGGACTTTTATCTCCGCCCTGTTGGCAAAATTTGGGACTGTCGATGTTCACTGGTTTCTCATGAAGCTGAACATTCACCAAACTAAACCCTTTGTCATAGAAAGGAACTCCTCCGATTACAGCCTTGCCTTTCTGTAGTGAGATGCTATTGGCAGCCACCCCATTAGCGAGCAAATCACCTTGTGTATACCTTTTGCGGACGAGCACTTTACAGTCTTTCATTTCTTGAAATAATTTTTAATTTATGCTAATATTAATAAACCCATTTTCAACCTTTTTAATATGCTTTTAATATTTTAATATTATTTATTTTTTGTTCCACTTTTTTCACAGTACATGGCTCTGCTGTGCGCCTGCATCCTCTGGACACTACTCTGCGCACTTGGCGTCTGCTCGCCAGCGTCACGGCACTAATAAAAATATGTCAATTAATATTGAGCACAAAATTAACATAAATTCCAAATAGGATAAATTAATATTAATTAAATTATAAAACTCATAAATACAACTACAACATATATCTGATATATGAATTCCAAGTATGCACAATAAAAAGAAAGTCAATAAAAATGAACAAAAATTTATGTGTAAGTATGAAAGTAAAAAAAAAAAACAAAAAAAAAAATAAAACAAAGACAAAAAATATGTCATGACATATTAAGACAAAAACTGCAAAATATAATAAAATTTATTCGTAAGTAAATTGACCTAAATGCATGCATATGGTTGCAAGTTATACCAAAAACCATTACATTGATTTTAACAGAGCCACCTGGGCGTATACGCAACATTCCAATACACACAGCAGCAGTTCAAGATAATTTATGAAATACAATAGTATGCTACAAAAGCGAAGAGCTATAAATTCATTTGTTCAAAACAAATGCTTACAAAAGTAGAAAATTAATGAAAATTCAAATGATTAATTGCAGCAAGCAAGTGTAGTTAAATTTAGAAAATATTGTAAATATTTACATACATATCTACATGAGATGAAAGAAAATATTTATTGACTGAAACAAGTGGAGATAAATACATACATTTAATTGAGAAATGAAATATAAATTAATTTCACTGTTCGCAGCAGTTAACTTTCACAGAAAAAAAAACTCATTTAACGTTTGCTTAATCAAAGGTAATTAAATTTCATTATTAAATCCTGAGATCCGAGACAATTTAATGTCAAAGTTGAATTTTTCCTTTTTGCCTTAACTTCACATTTTGATTGAAGACACACATTTCAAGCGAAAATGTGGTGGACAATGAAAATTAATATGTAATTCCTTTTTAACATAATATATGTATTTAATATTAAATATAGATATGTATGTAGCTATATTCACCCTATGAACTTGGTAAATAAATCAATGAAAATTGTAAATATCTAATGAATTTTGTACCGTAATTTCATTTAGAATTTTGCCACAAATTTAATTCTTCACGATATGTTGTAGGTAATAAATTACGTCTAGTGATAGTTTAATGTCCTTGGCTAAGCTTCTTGTATGCGATGTATAATTTCTTGAGGCTAATTCTCATATCTCTCACCATATCATCACTCTTATTATTATTATTATTGTAATTTGAAGAGAAAAATGGTTCAAAGTTTCTTCAGCTATTTAAACTTCTCCTTTAAACAAAAATGTGCCATAACCTAAACTTTTCATTTTCAAATACTAAGAGAGGTATGGAGAAAAGGACTTTAGTTTTCATCAAACACTTAGCCTTTCTATTTGCATGGTTGGCTGGTTAGTTGGTTGTAAGGGAAATCAAACTGATTGTGCATCTGCTATAACAAGCTCTCAGTCTTTCTGTATTTCGCACTAACAGGCAGTGGCAGTTCAAAGCTTCTTTTATCAACATATTTCTTACCCGTCTTTGTTTCATGCGATCTTTTGCTTTCCTGTTGTGGCCAAGTTTGCCTGAAATTTCTATTAAGACATTGTCTGAGCTTTTCAAATGGTTGGTTGAATGAAAAGTAAGGTTGATGACCAGACAGTAGGTAAGGACAGCTAATCTATTGATCACGATTCTTTCTGCCCTCCTTTTCTTCGAAATAAATGTTTGCGAAAGGCTTGTTCGATTTTAGGAATTCTTTATGTTTCTTCCAACTATGCATGCTCACGTACAGAAGCTCAAAGCAGGGAGATTCGTAATATATGAGACATCTCAGTCAGCTGAAGGCTAGTCACTCAAGTACTGCAACATTTCTTTCTCTTCTGTATATATCCTGCGTTCTGCCATTTCAACTTTGCCTACATTTTTGAGATGATATCTCGCAAGTAACAGTTTGGTCTATCTCAAGTCATTGCTACCCCACAATAATTCAGTTGGAAGTGCTTTAGGATCTGAACTGTTCTTCCATGGTCTACTGATTTGTACATCATTTAAAAATGCTGAAGGGTCTAATACGGTCGCTAGTGTAACTAGCTCATGCTTCCTTTTACTCATTGTCATCAACTTCCGCCTATAACTGTGTTACCAAAGATTTGGAAGTTATGTTAACGCACTTTGGGTTATTTGGTGTCCACCGTAAAACTAATAAATTTTCCTCTTAAGGCTAAAGCCATTTAGCACCTTCATTAATGCCAACAATTTCAGCTTTGAAGGCAGATTTGAAGACGTTGAGTAGGAGGTTGCATTGATTATTGAAACTTTGGCAGAAGACTCCTGCACTCGTGCCCTCCGCGCATTATGACCCGTTTGCCTTACACTCCACCACCCATTCTTCTCTGAAAAGTTGCTAACTCCTTTACTATCTTATTGCTTATTTAGTGCGAGGTTGGTTACATCTCTCTTCAAGCTACCATCTCGCTCCCAATTTAGTGACTCTGGGCAATTATACAAAATTTTAATTGGCTGAATATCGAGAATGCCCTACATGTCATTCGTTGAGGTAGTTCTTATTGCGTCTACTATACCAAATAGGCACGAACGACATGTCTAAGCCCGATGGACCACGTGTCGTCGCAGCCCTTCTTTTCGGCGTAGCCAAATTTTTTTTTGGTGTTCACTTCTTGTCAAACGAATTTTTCATGCTGTGGCTCACAATCGGTTTAGTGGTTATGTTTTCCGAAATTTGCTGCTCACACCTCTTTCCACAGATCTTTATTGAAATTTTGTTTTTTAAATTGACTCACTAGAATAAATTTACTCCTGGAGCTATGCTCATTGGTACAAGTGGATAATAGCCAAACAAAAGACCTACAGAGAACGTGCTTTCGCTGTCTTCCAGGCGGTATTCGAACTACTTCAGAGTCTTTTAAGCTACCTATTTTCAGGTTTCATATTGATGAAGGGATAAATCTAAAATCTTTGTTAAGGGATTTTAGCGGTATTTTTCTACCTCTCGTCAAACTAGCCGCCGACTAGTGGTTACAGCACAGTTCTTAGTTAAAATCAAACATAGAAACAAATATTAAATATAAAGATTAGTTCCGAAGCTTATTAAAGAGGATATCATATACTATGAGCTTTGAGCAACACTTTGAGATTCAAGATTCAGAAAGCTCTTACAAATACTTCAGAAGGTTTCAAATTCAAACAATTAAAAGGAAAAGAAAACCATCTGACGGTGTTTTATATTTACTTGGTAAGTTCCTATTATTATTTGTGACAGTCTTGATTGGATTAGAAGTAACATAGCAAGTGTTTATGCAGTTAATTACAACGTGAGATCACGTCGTGACGTCAGTTATTAAGCAAAACTCTGTAGCGGCTTCAAGACAGACATTTGCTCATTTCTTCTCATCTGCGTCACAACAGCCATTGGAAATAATGCAATATTAATTACTTCATTTTGCGGTTTGGCGCCGATTAGTAGTACCAAACGCAACCAGCATCCTCTTCAGCGGTACAGGCTCTCTTCCTTCCTCTACTTTCACCAGCGGGTACAATATGGAATTATTTCATTCATTCAGATGACGTAACCTAGCCAGCGTAGTCGCTATCTTTTTATTCGCCGTACTGTACCAAAATCAATGCATAACTCGTACAGCTTATCGTTCCATTGACTGCGAGATTCGTCGTTGCCAATTTGCAATGGACCATAAATCTTTCGCAAAACTTCTCGCTCGAAAACTGCAAATGCAGACTGATAAAATTAAGACATCTTCCCTAAATGGAGATCAATATTTTGTGTACTCTTAATTATACAAACATTTTTATTGCACATACACACACACATACATTCGGTGACCTCTTTTAAATTGCATTTGTATTAGTTTATGTTAATAAAATATTTGGTTATCGAATATCAAGGATTGTGTGCTAATGTAAATATGTATGTAATTAAAGTTTCAAATTTTGACTATTTACTTTATTTATTGATATTTAAATAAATAAATATATATACTCGTACAGGGTGGATATCGAATATAAATATAAATTAAATGCGTAAATTTTTTTTTTAGTTTTTTGAAATTCCTTTTTTGTTATAAAGTTTGAACCTTGGCATTATATGTGATAGATTAGATCATTCAAATAACCGCCTCGAACTGAACCGAAGGTTACTTTCGACTACTTTTCGGCACATATTGGACGGCTTTTCAGTCAGAACTTAACGTTAATGTATGTTTTCAAGCGCTCAAGAGTCAAAGGTTTCTCCGCATAAACCGACTCCTTTGCATAGCTACACAAACAGGAGTCCAACAGTGGCTAATTTCTTCAAATTTCACGTCCTCAGTGACCAATTGGCATCGCCAAGGTGAGAGTTTACGCGACCGAACAATTTCTCCCGCAATAAAGCCATATTCGTTGATCTTGTGTGGCATGTGGCACCGTCTTGTTGAAACCACATATTGTCCATTCTTCAATTGCAATAAAAAAAAGTCGATTCTTATACGATCACAAGGCTCCGTATTATCAGTGACAGTCTCGCCGGTTGTCGCTTCCAAAAAAAAAAAAAGGTCTAACAACAGCTCTCGGGCCAAAGAGCGCACCAGACATTAATTCCTTTTGTTTGGTGTTTCATAGAGCCCGCTACCAATGCTACCATTTTGCTCATTTACTTATCCGCCGCGTGAGAAATGAGCCTCGCACATTACTTGTTTATTGTTTGTTACTCAAGCGCCTAATCGAAATAGATACGAAGTTTGGAATGCTCCCTAATACTCCAATGAATTTATGCCATCCCTATAATGATTTTCCGGATGCTTTGCAAAATCCCCTTCTATGGCTCTAATAGTTTCTTCATTCGACGAAAAATGCTTTCCACGTGCGTCAGCTGCTTAAATGAGTGTTGCCAAAAAGATAATAGTTAAAAAAATCACCCTTTATATATGCTAAAAAAATCTTGCTCATTTGTCAAAATCGGCCGAAAAATAGCAGATTTCCTGAATATTGAAATACCGTCGGTCTAAACGGCGCACCCTTTACATATATATACATATATGTATGTATTTATAATGTGGTAGATGAAAGCAAGTAAGTCAACAAGTACTTATTTTGTGGTGAA